TTGTCTTTGAATTGAACCCGCCAAGAATGCTTGCGCAGCCGATACTGTTTGCGAGACTTTCGGTCGGCAAATGTCCTGGTAGAGCAAATTCCCTAACTGGAAAACCTTTGATTTTCCCCTAAAAACATTAAGAATCCAGAAACAGAGCGAGCCAGCATCATTGTTCGGGGATATCTGGAATTGGGAGCTGAGCCCAAGACCTGCATTTGGCGACCTCCTTATTGGCGACGGCGACGAGGCTTGGTATAGAGGCAATGCGCCTCCTTTGTTGTACCGGTCCATACTTTACAATCACTTTATACTGAAAAAGAGGAATCATGATTTAAATAGAAGATAAGTACGTAATCTTACAGAAAAGTAATTTTATCAAAGGACTTAATTCATACATTTTTAATTTTACATACATGCAAATTCTATACTGCAGATCTTATTTAATAATTAATAGTAAAACTGCATATAGCTAATATAATATATACAGTAAAGCTAAGAATTTGTTTATTTTCAGGTAAGCATAAAATAGCATATATGTTTGTCTCCCCCCCCCCCCCACCCATTTGAATGTATGTTATTAGGGAATTAAAAGGATACAGATCTATATTTTCCCAATTTCAATCTGGCAATCTAGCATCCTTTTGCTGTCAAAACCTCTCGCGAGGACGTAGGCAGTCGACTCAGGCTACTTAGTCTAAGGAATTGTTAAATGTAAAATAAAAGACTACCCTATATGAAATATATGATATACATATAAAATTGCAGCAAGAAAATGTATCGGGTTTGTACAGAATTTATTTCGATTGTGTAAGGAATCTTACATGTGCCTGGAACCAACCAGTAGTACTGATCGGCAACGGTGTTTAAACTTATTAAAACTTTAAAGTCGAGAAAACGTCGAATCCGTTCTGGGAAACCCAACCCGTAAAGAACAATTTATTAAAAGTTTTTCCGGCTTCGCCCCGGCCCGCGGAGTTTTGAAAAACCCACACGAATAGAATTTTCCCTTTGATTTCTAAGTCCACCGGGTTTTCATTGGTCAAAGCCCCTTTTTTTAATTTAAAATTGAATCAGCAGGAAAAAGTTGTGGTGGGGATAGCTAAATTTTTCTTAAGAAACCACTTTGAAACGGTATTATTATATTGGAAAAAAAAACAAATTATTATGTGTGGAGCCCCGGGGTTTAGGCGTTGATTTTAAATTTTGCTTTTCTAAAATATACCGCTATTTTTTTTACCGGTTAACGGGACAGTTTTTTCCCAACAAAAATTCGCGCGTTAAATTTGGTTTTTTATTATTTTTTGACGATGGAAAGACAGACATTATGAAATACAGATTAAAAAATCGGGCGGGTCTTGCAGTTTGAAATATTAAGTCTGCAAAAGATTTGCCGAACAACAAACACAGAAATTTTAAGGTTTTGGGAACCCCGATTAAGGGTATTAGACTGGTTTCTAGTTGGTTTGATTGTCCCTCGGAAAAGAAAATATTTATATGGGAAAGTTGGGCCCAGGATTAAAACCCTAGCTTTTTAGCATGTGGGCCGGGGCGGGGAAACTGCATCCGTCTATTGGATTTAGCTTTTAAAAACCCATGAGATTTGGGGATCCATTTTTACTTTTATCATGCATAATTAAACATTAGCCCATTTTTTTACCCCCCCCATAAAATTTTTGGGATTGGCGCGGGTAGCTCAGTTGGTAGGCAATGGGAGTCACCCTGACTCCCGGGTTCCCATCCTGGGTAAACCCTTTTGGGGTTTTTCGGAGAAAACTTTGTTTTCCCCCCCTAATGAAAGGGGTATGGGTTTAAAAAATCCAGGTAATCCCCGGAGTACAGGGTGATTAATGAACAAAGTAAAAGAAAAAAACCTAAAATAATTTAATTTGGGGCTTGGGTTCCCCATTTCCCTTTTCTCATTTTAAAATTTATAGTAGCCCGTTTCTATAAGTGACTTTTTTCTAGGCCATGGGTTTTCGTCCCCCCATTCCTACTGGGAAAATAGAAAAGACAGAGATCCATTTAAACCTAGGCATTTTTCCAAAGAAAATTTTTAGGGGTCCCCTTTTAAAAGAGACCTAGCTAGTACATCTGGGTAAAAAAAGCTGCAAATTTATTTTTAAAAGTTTAAAAATTTGATGATTTTGAACCCGGTGCCAAATTTTCTAGATCTACAAATTTATATAAAATACATGTAATTTTTTAATTCATGGGGTCCTGGGTCTAACCAGCTCTACATGTAGCTAACGGGTACAGCACTAGTGTTTACCTGTTTACTTTCAAACTATAAGATTTAAACAAGAATCTGAATGATTTATGTAAATCCAATGCACAGTTTATTATGTTATTTTAATTTAATTTTAATTAAAATGAACTATTACTTGACAAAGATTTTCTGAGCTTTTAAAAAACTCCAGTTTATCCCTGTAATGTCAGGAAAAGACAAAAACATGTGATATGGGAATTTTAATGCCGGTCTGTCAATTGTTAACAGGGAATGCTTGTTTCAAACCCATGAAACCTTAACTAATTATTATTGAAACATGTGCGTCTTTTTCCGTGTTTGATCACCCATGGAAAGTAACAAGACATACACGGGTGCCCTAAAAAATAGAGGTTACGTTAATTGCTCGTAAAAAGACGGAAATAGTCCGATGTTTCACGAATGACTTAGGAGCGACAAAAATAATGCCATGTAATAAAAGGGCTGTGAAATTAACAGCATATCAAAGAAAAAGCTTATGATTGAATTTATTTACACTTCCGATTGTAAAAAACTGTAGTATAGTTTATACTGAAGTAATAGTTTATAAATTTTTTTTTTGACAACATATAATATATCCTCGATAGTATAGGGTGAGTATCCCCCTGTCACGCGGGAGACCGGGTTCAATTCCCGTCGGGGAGGTATCTTTTTCCCTGTTACATCTTTGTAATTATTTCAAAATACATACACGTGCTTTTAGTTCATGGGGCTATTTTAATTTTCTTAAAATATTATTGTATATTGTCATACACACGTTACTATAAATAAACAAAATACATGTACATTGTATCTACATTACTTGTGTTGGTTAACCACGTAGATACATTCTGTTATATAAAATCAACGATAACCGTTCCCAACACGATCCATATGAACTTGAAATTTTATAAATGATTCCTGAAATTTTTATTTTCTAAACAAGTAAAAAAATAATAATGATGAATCACTGCACTACAGTGATTTGAAGTCAACGAGCTTAACCACTCAGCCACTTTAAAGGCACACTAGCTATGCCACAGAAACAAGTAGAAAAAAATCTTAAGAATGGACAAACATGAGTTTAATACCGTTTAGAAATGATTATAGAGCATGTTAGATCATTAGATCTTGGCACTTTAGGAAAATAACGCTGAATGTGAAGGTATTCGTAATGAACGTAGAAAAATGTAAACAAAGTATTATTTTTGCGACACCTGATGAAAATAACGCTGAATGTGAGAGTATTTGCAATAAACGTAGCAAAAATGTAAACGAAGTAGTATTTTTGACTTCCATTACAAAGTACTATATCACTATAATGTACTTATTGTTACAGAAGTAAAAGATGACCGGTTAATATTGGCCAATGAGTAACTTTTTTGGAAACTTTAGTTTGAATAAAAAAAAAGCCTTTTGAGAATAACTAAAAAAATATTTCTGGTTTTCTGGGGGATAATTGGCCTTTTAATGTTGTTGAATTCAAATGACATGCCCCTTATGGTTGTTGAAAGTTTGCAATGATTAAATGTCGGTGTGAAAAACAATACAAACAGATTAATTGTTACTGTTGTGTTTCACTCAACACATTGTGTAAGGTCAATATTTTTTCTCTTTCTTTTTATTTCAAAATTTCAAAACTAGATCTAGTCTTATTGTAACAGACATTGATAACTGTTCCACTGAACTCATTAGGTTTCCACTCTAAACATGAGATAAATTTATATTTTTTCGGGGGGGGGGGGGAAGAGAGGGGTTAAATGAAAGTGGAAAATGGTACATTTGGCACAGACACATATAGGTTTAGACCCCACCCGTCACCAAACCCCTAACCAGTTTTTGTGTCAAGTCAAAAAAAAAGATAAAAAAATAAATTTGAACACAGAAAGGGGGTTTACTAGCAAAACTTAAACAATTTTTTTAAAGAAAGGGGAAAGGGGAAAAAATAAAATGCATCACTCGTGAGTCACAACCTGGTCTCGACCTTTCCTTGTTAAGTTATTGTAAATTGTCAGTGACTGGACATTAAATTTAACGGTTGCGGGTCATCTTTCTCTGTCATAAACTTAGTTTGATTCAATTCCACGTGAATTTAAAACAAACCCCATTTATCATGAAATCTCAAAAGTCTTAATAGCTTCAGTGTTTCAGTCGTTCGTTCGTTCGTTCGTTCGTTCGTTCGTTCGTTCGTTCGTTCGTTCGTTCATTCATTCATTCATTCATTCAATTATTTAGTTGGGGGTGGTTCTTGCAGTAATTCAGAGTTTCTTGCATTCAGACGAATGCGGTCACTCGAATATTTTTCGCAATAAACTAGAAATAATCTAATGACATTCAGAGTTAGTGCTGTCACGATCCCAAAAATGTTCCCATTTTATCAGTATTAAATTACCCGTCTTGTTCAACTATGATTGGTATTGAGCAGATGAAATATGTTGATCCCTACTGTTTAGTATATATATATATATATATATATATATATATATATATATATATATATATATATATATATATATATATATATATAATATATATGTATATATGTATATATATATATATATAATGCGATAGGTTAATTGACTTTCGCAAACGATTTACAAATATCAAAGTTTAATTCATAACAGTTCAACTTTGAATTTAACGTTATATCGTGTTAATTATTATTTGCTTGGTAAAATAGTAAAGGGGTGGGGTTGGAGCGGGGCGCCTCATCCGCAACCGCTAGAATGTGTATAAATGTTACAAGGGAAGTAACTGTCGGGCCTACACTTCTTAAGTGTAAAAAGGTGACGATATCATTGACCTGTGAAGTAATATCTTTATTTATATCAATGACATTGCTTTAAATGACGATACAGATTTAATATGTATTTAAGGTGTGTATACCAGTGTTTTATCAAAAACACTATCATTTAAACGCAGGGTTTGTGAAAGGATATACTTTAAATAAGAAAGTAAGTTGAATGTTGAGTAGATTACAGTATGTATTTTCTGTACGAAATCTGCTGTGGTCATAGTATTATTTTTACAATAGTTTCGTCTTACAATTGGTCTGAGATTTATGTGTTGATCATGGTCATGTAAATACATCATTAAATAAAGAGAGAGACGCTTGTTTTTGGTTGAGTCCATTATGTTTTATCTAGGGGTGAAATGTAAAACCTTTATTTACAATTTATATAACATTTAATGTTTTCGGTAATTTTAAGATTTGTGTTAATTCTGGAATTGTTTCAACATATTTTTTTCGGGGATTAAATTGTGATTAAAACAATTAAAGTCAGAACTGCAATGGAAATAACTTAGTCCACACCTATGTTGATTTGATCACGTGACAATGTAAGCCAATGAAAAAACATCAACAAACAGGCAGCCATTAAGGAAGAGAGAGGGTTTATTTCAGAGCGATAATTTAAATGTACTAGCAAGTTTAAACTGTAAGTATTGATTTTTTATGCTTTATTTATATTGTAGATTAGTGTTTATTTAATGATCTGCTTGATTTCCCATTGTCAGTTCGTGTTAGCTATGATTTAGAATGTCTAGGTGACCTAATTACAAGCTGGCTTGGAGAACAAATGACTTTTTGGCGGGAAGAAATGGTTGGTTTGTTATTGTTTGTATATATCTGTCTTTGTTCTATTTGCTTATGTTTTATATTGTTGTCTGCTGTGAAGGTTGTATATTTTTCATAAAGTGATTAAAAGTAGTAAATAGTTTGTGCATTTAGCCTACGTAGCGCCGAATGACAGACTATTCTCTCCCTTACCAGTTCCTCTCCCTGACGGTTCTCTCCCTAACCGTTTCCTCTCCTGACGGTTCTCTCCCAAATTTGAAATATGCAGACAGTTCTCCCCCAATTTTATTTTTGTAAGTTACATATTATCATTTTAGTTTTGACTTAATCTAATAATATTTCTTAATGAAGATTATTAAAAGAATGTGTTTGATATTAACTGCATTTTATGTTTTATGTTTATCAGCTGAAAAGTGTTTTTCAGTATTTTAATCCTATCAACACCTGTAAATTTAACACCTTTATTCAGTATTTTAATCCTATTAACACCTTTATTGTGAGAGATATAGATCATTGGACAGTGAATGATATACACCTGTAATTATGTTTGTGATGTTCATTTATTTGTTAAATAGTGAATAAGGTGGAAACAAATATGTTCTAGAAAATAAATATAAACAACAACTGGTATGCAAACACATTCCACATTTACTTTTTTACGAAATTGATTTAAAAACGTCATGTAGTCATTAACTTGAAACAATATAATAATACAAAATAACTAATACAATACTTATTCATCAACACCGTTTCACAGCTATTTTAATCTAATCAACACCAAGGAATTAATAAACACCTCAATTATCACTGGCAGCAAACTTAATGCATACATGTGTGTATTGAACTTTTTTCATTATACAAAAGTTTAGCAATTAGAATTTTTATTAATCATTTTTTGCTTATAAATTTCATTTTTATTTATTAAAAAAAATAATATCTTATGATTATCCTAATCAAGTAAATTATTCATTATTTTTTTCAATGACTAAACACATTAAAAAGTGTACATTACATCTAACTAAAAAATCAGAATAATTAACTAATATCATCATTGATGAATTATTATTATATGTTAAAAAAAGTTTGTCTAATTCAATTTATATCAATTGATAATAAAGTTACAAATTTATAAAACATCTAAATACTTCAATAAAATATTTTTTTCTCTAATTTATATTAATATTTGATAATAAACTTACGATTTATTGTTGCTGATGATGCTAACAAAATTGAAACTTGAATTAAACATCAGAATACTTCATTAAGTATTTTTCTCTCTAATTTATTACAATTTATAATAAACCTACCCATTTATCTAACATCTAAACACTTCAATAAAATATTTTTTTCTAATTTATATCAATTCATAATAAACTTACCCATTTATTTATCATCTAAATACTTTAATAATAATGTAATTATAAAAATAACAATGGGGAGGAACTGTCTTCTAATTTGCAAATATGCAGACAGTTCTCCCCCAAAATAGGGAGAGAACCGTCAGGGAGGAAACGTCAGGGGAGAAACTGGTAAGGGAGAGAATAGTCTGACTACCGTAGCGCCACGGGCAATAATTGCCAATATAAATCCGTGGTATCGGCTTCTATCGGTCATATGGTTGTTTGAACGTTGGTTTTTAGTCGATTTTGTAATTTTTTCTTTTCTTCTGGAATGTTTGACGGTCATGTGGCTGGTGAAAATGCCTATCAGGCTTATGGCATAAGAAATCACAATACCAGGAAAAATATAAAGATATTTCTTTTGAACTTGGACTCTTTGTTATATGACATAAACAGAAAGGAAAATAATTGGTTACTGTCACTTGATAAAATGTTTATACACTGTTTTTTTTCTTGACGGTCAAAGCAGATTGGATGAAGTGGGCTCATGAAATTGGCATTCTTTGAGGGATTAATTATGAATTCTAACCCTAGTACTCCTCATTCGAAACAGAAGATTATGTTACACATTAAGCTGTGTATTCAAAGTCAAAAGAAAAACAAATTCAAAATATTAAAAGTTTTTCCCCACTGGGAAACTCCCCTGAAGGACGTAAATTAGTCCATATAAAACTGTATCCTAGAGAAGCGAAGTAACCAGAAAAAATATTATATTCTTTTCAAAATGGCCACAGTAAAGACCGCCAAAATTAATATCAAAATTTAACATTCCATGAAAAACGTGTCATACAAACTGTACCAAAAACTAGTTGAGCGGCTTATTTATACTAACCACGGATGAATACAAAAAAAATCAGTCCAGCAAATCAAAACAAGTCACTGATTTTTAAAAGGGAGACTATCAAGTTAACATCAAAAAAGACTGTTCTAAACTATATAAGCCAGGAACCAGAGGTATTAATAAAAAGCCCCTGTCAATATCGATAATTAAAAGATATTATGTTTGACAAAAAATACTTCACATTCTTTGATGGATTAATTATGAATTAACGGCGAATTCAATTTTGTTTCACAATTCAAAATCATTCCTTTTGCAAGGGAGGTTTTTGATGGAAAGGGGAAGACACTTGGTGCTGGTAGGGAGAGGAAAAAAATGCTAAATAAGTCGATGGGGAATTATGGTGTTATTTATTCTATGCAATATCTATTTTTTCCGTAAAGGCTTTATTATCATGCAAAATATTCTTTGCGGTATAACATCTTATTATGTATGGTGGTGATTGTTTTTTATATTTCCATTCTGTATGGCGTTTAATGCAGTTTATTGTAAGTGTGATAGTGTATCTGTGGTGCACTTTGGCTCCATATAAGTCATTTTTGTAAAAAGAGAAATTTATACAAGAAATAGTTATTATTTTACTAGAAAGTGGCAATATTTTGGTAGCAACTGATTTCCGGATATAGTACGGATCAATTGTTTATATAGAGTGTAAAAAAAAACATAGTAGATTCTCTTTAATACTATGCCTGTATCAATTGTTTATATAGAGTCTATATAAACAATTGATACAGGCATAGTATTAAAGAGAATCTACTATGTTTTACTCTATATAAACAATTGATACAGGCATAGTATTAAAGAGAATCTACTATGTTTTTTTTTACATAATAAACAACAACAATCTTTTTTCATTCTTTATTCATCACTCAATATAAAACCTAAAAACTGTCCTCATAAATCCTGTCGTTGAAGTTATTGGATTGTGGGTGCATAATCTCAGTAGTTGGGAAGTGGTCATTACATCAACCAGGCGTCAAATGAAGCTTTAATGTTTTTTTTTTTAAATATTTTTTTCTCAAAACTTATTGAATTAATCCAATAACGAACAAATCATTATCAAAATAGGTATAATAAATAGACATACTTCTTCAATGTATTCTATTCATTAATGAAATTTTGTGTCATAATTTGATTACAACAAACATATTGATGATAAAACCACTTTATATACATGTACCATGCCTACTATGCCTTTAATTATAAAATAAGATTGACGAAACCTCTTTCGCATCTTTTCATAATGTTAGTCCGCCGAAACAGTAGTTTGACGAAACTACCAAAATTCATATAAATCCATGGTAGCACTTTCTCTCAGGCCTAATTTTTGTTGGAACGGTGGTTTTTTGTCGATTTAGTAATTTTCTCTACTCTAAGTACTGGCATGTGTGGCGGACATGGTAAGGTGCCTAAATGTTGACATGGTCATTATAAATATTCAAGGTTTATTCGCCTGTGATTTTCATGGCCTTTGTGGTTTTTTTTTGCCGCAAAGGATCAACTTGGACTTATACTGTCTCGGACCAGTCAACTCGGCCTTCTATTAGAAACCTATTTCGGTATGGATTGTTAACATTGTTATGAAAAAAATTTAGGAGTGTATTACTATAGAAGTATTCAAAGGTATAATCGCATGGCCAACAGAAATTGAAAAAGTTGGCAGTGAACACGTACGTGTTGTTTGAAATAATCTTTGTTAGGAAGAGATGTCGCGACAATAAATGTTGAATATTGGTCTTTAACTAGAATTTTTATGACAATAATGGTACTTGTTTTTTGCACTGTTCCTTGAAATTATCTTTGTTAAGAAGAGATGTTCAAGTTGAGACAATAGATGTTGAATAGTTATCTTTAAATTGAATCTTTATGGAAATAAATGTAATTGTTGTTTACACTGTTTGTTCCTTGGCGGCCAATGCAGTTTGAACAGTACGTTCTGCAAAGAGCAGATGAAGTGGGCTAAGGAAATTGGCATTCTATAAGGAAATAATTCTGAATTTACGACAAATGTACCCCTGTATGCTATAAATATATGCAAGGAATGCATTGCTTTCTTCACAGTTAATACACATTTGATCTAATTATGCACATGGGAAATCAGTGTCAACAAACTTGTTTTGATGCACAGTACAAATTTATTTCTTTTACAATTCAGGGGGGGGGTT